ACTCCAGCCCGCCTCACCAGCAAGAGACAGGACTCCTGACAGTACCACAGGGAGGGATCCGGAAGCAATGTACTGTAGGGAACAAGAGACAGATTACACCCACTAGGGGGCGCCAGCACTGATCCAGCCCCAGGTCAGGGACTCCCTGGCTCAGAGGGGTGGGGAATGGGGCATGGGACCTTTCCCCTTTAGGGGTGCCAGAGACCTCAGAGTTTGCCCATGGTACATACCCGCATACCGATCCACTGCAGATAAATCTCAAAATTCAGACTCCAGTAGGTCAGGAAAGGCACCAGCACTTCCCAGAGACCTGTCTGCACCATCCCCATCACAATCTGGGCAACCTGCCATGGCACAATGGGGGACTGAGATGCCTTCTTTCGAGATGATCAGCTGAAACAGAGCCAGGACTCCTGGGTTCTATCCCCGGCTCTAAGAGGGGAGTGGGGTCTAGTGGGTCAGAGCAGGGGGCACTTGAAGCTAGGACTCCTGGGTTCTGACTCAGGGAGGGGGGGTCTAGTGCTTAGGTCAGGGGGGGCTGGGAGCCAGGACTCTTGGGTTCTATCCCTATCTCTGTCACAGGCTATTCACCCCAAAGGCCAGTTGCTCCTCAACCACTTGGCTCTAGTTCAGTGGTTCCCAAACTTTAACAGCCCGCGAACCCCTTTCACTAAACTGTGAAATCTCATGAACCCCCTCCTAAAAATGAATATTTTCAGCGATTTAAGTTTAAATTTCCTCAGTGTGATGGATGCCCCAACTGCCCGGCCCCGCTCTTCCTGGGGTTCGGGCTGCCAGCCCCGCGCGGAGCGCTGGGGTTCGGGCTGCCAGCTCCCCCGCTGAAGGGGGCAGGGCTCGGGCTGCCGGCCCCAACTGCCCAGCCCCGCTCTCCCTGGGGCTCAGGCTTCCAGCGCTGTATGGGGAGCGCTGGGGTTTGGGCTGCTGGCTCCCCCGCTGACGGGGGCAGGGCTTGGGCTGCCGGCCCCAACTGCCCGGCCCCGCTCTCCCTGGGGCTTGGGCTGCCAGCCCCAACTGCCCGGCCCCGTTCTCCCTGGGGTTCGGGGTGTCTGCCCTGCAACCGGGTCCCACCTGCTGTCTCCAATGCCCACGGTCCTCTGTCCGCCATTAGTGAAATTTTTCTGGCGAACTCCTTGTAACGTTCTGCGAACCCCAGTTTGGGAACCACTGCTCTAGTTCAAATGTGAGAGTGGAGAAGCTGGGAGCCAGGATGCCTGGGTTCTCTCCCCTGCTTGCCGGAACCCACAACTACCATCACGAGAGTTCGCTATACCCCCTCCAAGCAACTGTGTGGACTGTTGGGGAGGGGGACTTACAGGCTGCCACTCACCTATTCGATGCGATGCATCCGAGTCAATGGCACCAAGATGTTAGGGGGCTTATTTTTTTACCCTTTTACTTCCCTGGTCCTTCTCACATGAACAGAGAGCAACAATACCCGAAGTTCAAAGGCGCAAACAATTTGATGTTTATTGGGGTGAACTTTTAGCAAGCATAATTTTAGTTTTCTTTCTCAGTGTCCTCCTTTCCAGCTCTGACACCACAGAGACTTGCCTGTTTTCCGGTTCCCATTCCCTGTTCCCATTTCCCCCCCCTTAGCAAAACATGATTTCAGTTTCCCCACCCCCATTCCCTGTTTCCATTCCCCCCCTTTCTTCCTGATTAACTGCAAACTATATAGTAAAACTTAAGTTCTGCTTAGCTATACCTTAACCAATTATTTTACTGAAATTTAACTAACCAATTCTGACACATTGTAACATGGTTATTTAACCAAGATCTCCAGGCCATGGTAAAGTGGCTGGGGATTTTAAAACAGGAAATTTTTTTCTAGAGGGAGTGTTAATGCCCTTTTACTGGGAGAAAGGGAGGGTTTAAACTCACAAGAAATGCACTGCTTAATGAGCATTTGTGCAGCCCCAGATATGTGGGGATTTAAAGATAGGTTTAGGATTGAGGGGGATTACCAGCTAATGGATGTCTTGACAAAAATCGCAGAACTAATGGGCAGGTGTAATTTCCTGGCCCAAGCCATTGCGATCTCACAGGAAACTGATGAGGACCCTGAAATTTTTCTAACTCGATGGGGTCTCATGCAGATGATGGCTGGCTTAGTTGCACGTGATAGTGCCACCAAACTGGACCTGGTGCCATTTAGTGTAGACTCTTTAAGAGAATGCACTGCCTCCTTACAACCATTTTATGCAACAAGACTGGGAGTGTGGCGATCCGGCCAGCCTGCCACATTACGAGACCTAAGAGACCTGGGCCAGCAAATAGTTACCACCTCCCATAAAAAAGGACAGAGTGGCCTATATTGCAGCATTAGAGCCATCAGTTACTTATTCTAATGAAAGTGGCAATAAGGGCATAACTGGGGCATGGGGAGGACACTAGAGGTAGATCTCGGGGTAGAGGATATCATGGAGGAAGACAAAGGGATCATTTGTACCCAGACCTCCAGAAATTTAAAACAGACCCCTCAGGACCAGGCAAGGAAGAGTTAACTGAAAGAGACGCTCGCCCCATAGCCTGGAAAGTGTTAATACAACATGGGGCAGATAGAGAAGAATGGCATGGGGCACCCACACAGGACTTATTGGCAGAAGCTTTTAAACTTCAGACACTTTCTAAGGAGGAGCGAGTAGCGAGAATAATCACCCCGACCGCTCCTCTCCCTCCTCCTACTCCTCCGGTATTTATGGACCCCCTCCCATTCCCAGGAGATGCAGTATAGGGAGACCCTCGGGATATTGAACCTCCTCCACATGTAGGAGCACCACGCCGGAGGTTCGTCAGTGAAATCGCTTGGGACCCAGAGGGCCGACCATGTATTTATATCCAGCAGGGCACATGTGCTCCTACCTTGGCTTTAATTGACACAGGAGCTGCAATCTCACTCATCCGAACTCAGCCACAAGCCGGCACTAAAATCAAACAAGTCACACTGCAGTCCTTTCAAGGGAAGCCCAGTACAGGCTGGGAATGGGCACAAGTGCCTCTCTCCAGGCAAGGGTTTAGAACCCACGAGAGCTGATTCAGACCCCTGACATGACAGATGAAATGATTCTAGGCACAGACTGGTTATTTAAAAATTGGGAAAAGTGGAGCAGAGGATCCCTCTAACGAAAGAGGGACCGATAGATGCCACCACAATAATTCAGCAAGCTGAGGTATGGCGCTCAAAATTCCCCACTGTCTGGACTCAAAAGAAAACCGACCATGGGAAAATACAGGTGTGTGTAAAAATTGTTGGGGATTTGGTACCGCCTCAAAAACAATACCCCTGTCCTAAGGAGGCTGAAACACAGTTACAACAAATAATCCAGGACTTAGAACACGGGGGGTCATTCGAAAAACTAACTCCCCTTTTAACTCTCCCATATGGCCAGTTCTCAAGGCAGATGGTAAATCTTGGAGTGTTAACAAAGGCACAATCCCTATGGCCCCTATAGTAGCTGATATGATGTAAGTAATTCAAAAGGTGCAGGCTACTTCCAAATACTTCTCAGTCATTGATCTGGCTAATTGTTTCTTTGCCATCCCATTGCACCCAGACTCACAGGATAGATTTGCCTTCACGGTAAATGGGTAACAATGGGCATTCCAGCGTTTACCCCAAGGATTTCATAATAGCCCAGCAATAGCTCATAAACATGTTATAGATATACTAGACCGTCTTAGCCCACAAGCCTGGTCCTTCGTTTTTTTCCTATGTAGATGATATTTTAATTTGGGGGGAAACTGAGGCACAGGTGCAACAGTTAACTGAAAATGTTTTGGCTCTGATTCAAGAGACTGGTTTTAAGGTTAGCTTAGACAAAGCCCAGTTGGTCCGGTCTCAAGTGACTTACCTGGGCATTGTTCTAGGAAAGGAAGGGAGGCGGGTAGACCAAGGAAAAGTAAGAGCCCTGCTAGAAACGCTGGCTCCTACAGATCAACATTTCCTACGGGTCTTGTTGGGAGGGTTTCATTTTCTAAGACCTCATATTTACAAATCTGCTGAAATTACATTGCCCTTATGGAAACTGCTTAAGAAAAAGGTAAAATGGGACTGGGGGTCAGAGCAAGATGAGGCTCTAAGGGTGCTTAAACAAAAAGCTCTGGCGATTCCCAGCCATTCCTAATTAGACTAGCAGCGAACAACCTGGCCTTAGCAGCTACTCTACTGCAAGAGAATGAGGAAGATAAACTGGTGCCGGGAGCTTACGAGTCTAGGAAGTTACAGGGACCAGAAATAAATGTTGATCTGTGTGAAAGGGAATGTTTGGCAGCGGTATGGGCAGTACAATCCTTTGAACCTCTGACAGGAACAGCCCCCCGAACAATCCAAAGCACCCACACCCCTTTAAAGTACACTCTGTCCGGGAAACCGGTTGGGGGCAAGGTCTCAAACACTCGAATGGCTCAGTGGACCCTCACATTGATAAACAGAGGAGTCACGCCGGAGACCGTGTCTAGACCTGACATGCTGACCCACGCTCTAATTGAAAAAGGGAACAAACATGACTGCCCCGAGGTTACTTTAGAGCAAAGAATAGCCCTGATACAGGCACCCCCCTTAGAGGAATTAGATACCATCGGGACAGAGGGGCACGTGTGCTTCACAGATGGGAGCTCAGGGGTAATAAAAGCTATAAGGAAAATTAAATATGCAGCAGTTAACTTAGAAGAGGAAATACTCCAGGGATGTTTGGATCATGGGTCAGCCCAGCATGCCGAACTCCATGCCATATACCAGGTACTACAGCAATATAAGAACAACCCCAGACCAGTAGTGTAGTTAGTGGGGTGCAGCACATTTTCCAAAAGCGGGGCCCACGCTCCGCTCTGAAGCTTGGTCTGCCAGGTGGCGCTGGGCTCCTGCAGGCAAGGGAGGGCAGCACGCCTGGAGGAGCCATGGGGAGGGGGCGGCACAGCCGGAGGAGCAAGGGAGGGCGCAGCATGGCGGCCCGCAACTTTCCCCCCTCCCTCCGCTGCAGACAACTTTGATGCGGACAGTTTGGCGGCCGGGCCCCTTGGAGAGCTCCGCGGTGCAGAGGCAGCAGTTACTGCTGGCCCAGGAGAGCCCCGCCAGCGCGGCCGCAAAGCAGAGGCAGCGGCAGAGCCCGTGCATGGTGGAGGAGCGGACGCCGCGGCTCTGCGCTGCTCATGGCAAGCTCCGCGCACAGCCCGCTGCGAGGGCAGCTCGGTGCCCGCCCCGCCTCCTGCACTGACCGGGTCCCGGGGCGCCCCCGGGACAGGGAGGGTCTCCCCCGCCTCCTCGCGGCAGCCACACCAGGCGGACCCGCGACCGGTCACGCCCAGCAGGAGCCTCGGCGCCGCCCTCAACTCACCGGAATAAAACTCCCCCGAGGAGGGGAGAGCACTTCCCCCCTCCCGCCGCGGCCTCTCAGCGCAACCCGCCCACAGCCAGGCTCCGCCAGCAGCCCCGGGCAGGGCAGCGCCCCTGGGCTGAGCGGGCGAGCCAGGCTGCAGCTCGCTCGGACCGCGCCTGGCGGGGCTCGCTGCCTTCTGCCCCCACCCCGCAAGGGGTAGGGCCAGCGCTGAGCCTGGGCTGGCGCTGCTCGCGGCGAGCCCCTCCGAGGCAGTGACAGCGGGGTTTGCTCTCTGCGGCTGGCTGGGCCGGGCCTAGCGGCCGGGCCCCAGAAAGAAGCAGCGGAAGGGCAGGCAGCGGACTCCCAGGCTCTCCCGGTCCCAGGGGCAGCTCCAGCCCCCTCTGTCCACTCCCATCCCCGGTAACCCCTCCCCAAGCTCCATACCCCGTGTACCCCTCCCATGTACCCCATGCCCCTGCCTTTCCCTCCCCTTCACTTCCCCTCATACCCCGTCCTCTGCCACCCTCCCTACATCCTCCCCTCCACCTCCCCTCAAGTCAAACCCCCACCCCCGTCCCTCCACATCCTCCCCTTCACCTCCCTTCAAACCCCCTGTCCTCTGCCAGCCTCCCTCTACAGCCATGGGGGGGCGGCGCGGCCGGAGGAGAGAGGGGGGGAGCAGCATGGCCGCAGTGTGGCCGGAGGAACCAGCCAAGGGGGGGAGGCCACGGCGTGGCCGGAGGAGCCAGGGGGCGTGGCCAGAGGAGGAGCCATGGGGGGGGCGCCTTTTTTATGTTTGCTCCCCCTGCTCTTAGAACCTGGCTACGCCACTGCCCCAGATCCGTGTTTATCTGTGCAGATGGCAATTTCTGTGTCAAGGGAATACAATAGTGGATGCATGACTGGGGAAGGAATGGGTGGAAGGCAGCAGACGGGAAAAGTATTGCGTATGTAGAGGAATGGAAATGGATTTACCAATGGGTAATACAACATCCTGGCTGTTTAAAGGTCAGGCATGGAAAGGCACATAACAGACCGGACACTCTGGAGGCTTTTTGGAATAATAAAGTAGATGGTATAGCACGGCAGTATGATATAGCTGCAGTAGTAACCAGAAGCCAGGTGGGGAAGGTAATGGGGGATCCGCAGTCAATTGATGAACTTATTCATGATAATAACTGTCCAGACTCCCCAAACAGAACCCCAGGAAAGACAGAAAAGCAGGAACTGGTTAACGTTGCACATCAATTCATGCACGAGGGAGTGGAAGGGACATTAAGGGGACTAAGAGAGGTAGCACAGTGAAGAGGTATGGAAGATGATGTTAAAACTTGGGTTTAAAATTGCATTCGGTGTGCTCAGGATAAAGCCCGGCCACCACATTACCAGCCCCTTATGCACCAGAGACGAGTAGGTCCCTGGCATAGAATATAAATTGATTACATAGATAAATTGCCACGGAGCCAAGAGGGATTCCGGTATTTACTGGTAATCATAGATGCCTTGTCTGGTTGGGTGGAGGCATTCCCCACTAGAAGAAACACCACCACAGAAGCTGCAAAAAAGTTATTTACTGAGGCGGTCTGTCGTTATGGAACTCCCGAGATAATAGATTCAGACAATGGAGGGGCATTTGTAGGAGAAATGTTTACCAGCTTGTTACAAGCCTTAGGCATTAAACAAAAATTTCACATCCCCATCGCCCGCAATCGTCGGGGCAAGTAGAGCGCATGAATCGCACTATTAAAGAAGCCCTAAGGAAAGTTGTAAGTGATACTGGGGAAAATTGGCCCGATAAGCTCCCTTTGATTCTGGCGGCTATCCGTAGTAGCAACCACCTGAAAACAAAAATCCAGCCGTTTCCAATTTTCTTTGGCCAGCCGATGAGACTGGTGATTGATCCCACACAGATGGGTTTAGGATCAGGGGAAATGGATGCGGTAACCCAGCAGCATGATTATTTTCGGTGGCTCAGACAATTACAAGAGGACAAATTGACCTTGGAATACCGGATTAACGAGGCCATTGATAAAATGAATAATAAGCTCCATAAACAGAAAGCTGGTAACTCCCAGCTGTGGGAGCCCAGAGATCTGGTCATGTATTTAAAATTGGGTAGAAGGGAGCATAATTTGGAATCTAAATGGATAGGTCCATATTGCATTGTGGACCGGCTTAGCCCTTTGGTGTGCTGAATAGATAAAGATGGGAAGTTAAAATGGGCTCATGCCTTGCGACTAAAATTGTTTTCCTAAGCTACAGGTACCAACGTTACTAACAAAAACCGGAAGATGGCGCCCAAGGCATGGAGCATTTGGATTCCAGTAACTTTGGTGGTGATTCATGCGCTGGAGACAAAACAACAACTGGACTCACAATGGGTAAACTCAAGTCTGGGTAAACATTACTCCTGCTGATCATGGATGCATCTCTGCCGTGTCAGCTCCAGAAGACTCTAGGTGGGGCTCCAACCCCTCCTGCAAACCTGGTCAGCCTGGAACCTAAACCAGACCCCCTTTTAAACCGGAGCCAACAGAAACTAGAACAATCACGATCTGGGTAAATGAGACGATTTCTGTTGGAAATGGAACCTTTTTAATTATGAATGGCCCAGATCCAGAAACTGTAAAATTCCCCCACTTACTACGGAGACAACCTGGTATTCAGGTGCAAGTGGCCCCCATGTTTCTACTCTACATGTCGTAATGAGCTGGGATAAAAACAACCTGGCTGGGGTTAAGCCCGAGTGTGCTCCATACAGTTCCCCCATATTTGACGCATGGTACCGGGCATTATTGCGAGAACATATTCCAGGAAGAAGGGCTCAAAGTGTAGCAGATGCCATACTGGGGGGATAGGAACAGGGACCGGTGTCCTGAACTCCATAGACCTTGAAGCACTAAGAAATAAAGTTAATGCCATTGAAAGCCTGCACTACTCAATAACTAAAGGGCAGGAACATCAAATTGCTCAGTGAGTTCAAACAGATATAGACACTGTAGATTTACAATGGCATACATGGCAGCATATAAATCATACTTTCTGGGCAGAATGTGCTACCATGAGAGACATCACAGATAAAACTGCCATGGCTCTGTGGTGCTCGGAACAACAAATCCTTTCCATAATGTTGATGGAGAGGGAAATGGACTGGGTGCGGGCCAAGGATATGATGGTCCTAGCCCCTTTATTGACACACCATCAAAGCAATCTATTTACTTTGGGATAGCTCAGTGGTTTGAGCATTGGCCTCCTAAACCTGGGGTTGTGAGTTCAATCCTTAAGGGGGCCATTAAGGGATCTGGGACAAAAATCTGTCAGGGGATTGGTCCTGCTTTGAGCAGGGGGTTGGACTAGATGACCTCCTGAGGTCCCTTCAAACCCTGATATTCTATGATTGCTGTATGGTACAAACCATTACATTCTTACCTTAATGTACAACAACTGAGCGGAAGTATTTCTGTCCAAGTGCTAAGAGCCCGGGATGTACAGAAAACTATGGTTATTTGGCCATTTTCAGCACTGCCAGTAATCCAAGGACAACATATTTGGGTTCTCCAGCTAGCTGCAACATATATGAATGTTAAAGGGGATTGTGACGTTATGCAGTCTATATGGTTTTATAAAAACATGATAAGTGAATATAATGTAACTGGAATTTGCTTCATGCAAAAGGTCTCTTGTATGGTATCATTACAAAGCTTATAATCTACTGAGTGAGATCATCCTATTTGTATAACTCTATCACTCTTGTATCTGAAACTAGAAATATGAAGCCAGATATGTCTTTTGCCCCCACTACTCCCCTTGGAAGGCTGTTCCAGAACTTCACTCCTCTAATGGTTAGAAACCTTCGTCTAATTTCAAGTCTAAACTTCCTAGTGTCCAGTTTATATCCATTTGTTCTTGTGTCCACATTGGTACTAAGCTTAAATAATTCCTCTCCCTCCCTGATATTTATCCCTCTGATATATTTATAAGAGCAATGATATCTCCCCTCAGCCTTCTTTTGGTTAGGCTGAACAAGCCAAGCTCTTTCAGTCTCCTTTCATAAGACAGGTTTTCCATTCCTTGGATCATCCTAGTAGCCCTTCTCTGTACCTGTTCCAGTTTGAGTTCATCCTTCTTAAACATGGGAGACCAGAACTGCACACCTCCTTATCTTTGCTGGAAATACCTCGCCTAATGCATCCTAAAACCGTATTAGCTTTTTTAACGGCCATATCACATTGGCAGCTCATAGTCATCCTGTGACCAACCAATACTCCAAGGTCCTTCTCCTCCTCTGTTACTTCCAACTGATGTGTCCCCAATTTATAACCAAAATTCTTGTTATTAATCCCCAAATGCATGACCTTGCACTTTTCACTTTTAAATTTCATCCTATTACTATTACTCCAGTTTACAAGGTCATCCAGATCTTCCTGTATGATATCCCGGTCCTTCTCTGTATTGGCAATACCTCCCAGCTTTGTGTCATCCGCAAACTTTATTAGCACATTCCCACTTTTTGTGCCAAGGTCAGTAATAAAAAGATTAAACAAGCTTGGTCCCAAAACCGATCCCTGAGGAACTCCACTAGTAACCTCCTTCCAGCCTGACAGTTCACCTTTCACTATGACCCATTGTAGTCTCCCCTTTAACCAGTTCCTTATCCACCTTTCAATTTTCATATTGATTCCCATCTTTTCCAATTTAGCTAATAATTCCCCATGTGGGACTGTATGAAATGCCTTAATGAAATCGAGGTAAATTAGATCCACTGCGTTTCCTTTGTCTAAAAGATCTGTTACCTTCTCAAAGAAGGAGATCAGGTTGGTTTGGCATGATTTACCTTTTGTAAAACCATGTTGTATTTTGACCCAATTACCATTGACCTCAATGTCCTAACTACTTTC